CTATGAGTCTTTTTGGCTCACCACCTCTGTGGCACAGTGGTTACGGCACCAGCCACATACACCAAGACTGGCAGGTTTGAACCCAGACCAGGCCAGCTAAACAACAATGATGACAGTATCAACAAAAAATAGCCGGGCACTGTGGTGGGTGCCTGTAGTCAGAGCTACTTGGGAGGCTAAGGCAAGAGAATTGCTTAAACCCAAGAATTTGAGATTGCTGTGAGCTGTGACACCACGGCACTCTATCAAGGGTGACATAGTGAGACACTATCTTGAAAAAAAAATTATTAAGATTTTAAAATAGTTTGATGAGATACATTTTCAATATTATTTCCTATAGATACCAACAATACCAGCTAAATAAAGCTGGGAGAGAAAATTCATTCACAATACCCACAAAAATAATACACCCAAGAATAAACTTAATATTGGATGTCTACAGCTATGAAGAAAACAGCAAAGCTGTTGAGAGACATTTAAGGCTTGAATAAATGAGGAGGTATTTCTTGGGTGAAATTGGGTAAATGTCATAATTAAGAAAAATTTCCCTGAAATGGTTTATAAATTAAGGCTATCCCAGCCAAAATTTCAGTAGAATATTATGCATTGAAATTGGAAATTGGATTCCAATAACTTTTAAGTTCATTTCATGAAAATGGCTGGGGAAGACCTAAAAATGACAGTACCGAGGGAGAGCTTGCCCGAGCAGGTGTTCAGACGCAGGCTAAAGTCAGAGTGACTGGATAACCCTGTGCTGTTGCCGGTCAGGTTGAAATGACATAGACTGGAAAGTCCAGAGCAGGCTGCAGTTATGTGAGAATTTAGTGTATAGCATGTCGAGTGGCCAGCCACTGCAGTTTATTTGGGACTGAGGGGCTTCCTGGGATCATAGGACTTTCAGTTTCACTAATAAGATGGTTGGTTACCCTATGGTATGAGAAAAAGAATAATCTTTTCAGTAAAGGGTATTGGGATTTCTAGGTAAAGTAGTGGTGCCCAAATTTTGCTGTACATTGGAATTGCCTGGGGGAGTCTTTATAGCAACTAATGCCTGACTCCTCCTGCCTGAGACGTGATGGTAAGAAGTTGCATCAGGATCTTTAGTGGGTAGCAAAGTTTGGGCTATATTGGGGAAAACTAAGGTACTTCCTTCCTATATGTGTTTACTTTTCAGGTGGGTGAAATGTTTAAATGTGAAGAATAAAGGATTCCAGATAGTGGCTGAATTTGCTTGCTTTAAGGGTAGGTGTTTGTCCCTTCCCACGAGAAGTCTAGAACCGTCAGACCTGGGGATGGGTGCAGAAAAGCATCTCCCACTATATCTAATAATGCCTGACGGGCTGAGAGGCCTGCAGTGGTGTCACAGGGGTGTCTTGTCACCAGCAGGGGCAGACAAGTCACATGCCATGTCTTGCTAAAAGCTGACATGGAAGGTCAAATGGAGAAACTAATTTATACCAGACAGAAGAAATATGATGAAGTGGGTTCTATGAGTGTAAAGTTAAGTGATTTTGGAGGAGAAATCCAAGAGGTATTCCAGAAGGAGAAAAGGCTATAAGGGAGGGAAATAAAAAAGACATGGGAAGCTTTCTACAGCTAAAGTAAGATGTGGGATTGATATAGAAAGGGAGCGTGGAATGAATTCCATATAAAGCTAACGAATAAAAGCCCTCATCCACACAAAGACAGATGGAATTTCTGAACTTTGAGTGAACAGAAAATCATACAGGGGGCCAGAAAGAAGGAATATATTTTTTACCAAGGTATAAACATCAGATTAGTATTAAACTGCCTATCTATGTGCTGTATGGTAGAACATAGTAGAACAGTATTGGCAGACTATTGCAAATAAGGGTGTAATCCAAGCAGTTTATACCCAGCAAAGATACTCTATGTGATTCCAGGATCATTTTATAGACACAAAAAAAAGATTACCTCCTAACCAAACAAAATGACTCTAACAACTATTCTAAGGAAATAAAAATGAAATTGCAACAGGTGCTTCAAGAGAAAGAAATATAAAAAGTATAGGAAGCAGGCTTGGAACCTGTAGCGCAATGGTTACAGCGCTGGCCACATGCACCAAGACTGGGGGCTTCAAACGGGTGGGAGCCACCTAAACAACAATGGCAACTGCAATAACAACAAAAAATAGCTGGGCGTTGTGGCGGGGGCCGATAGTCCCAGCTACTTGGGAGGCTGAGGCAAGAGA